CATAAGACAGATTCCTTACGCCTGACTGTCCCAGATCCTTAATGGCACTTTTGAGAGACGGAATTGCACCCAAACTACCAAGGCTATCTACTGGCGTCTCAGATCTCGTGCTACATGCCAGTGAGCGGAGCCTCGGATCCAAATCTCTTCAGCTGGCGCGAAATAAAAGTGTTTGTCAACGACTTTTGTCATAGGTCAATGCTAGGTGGTGAGCGACATCCGAGGGAGCAGGTGTAGCTAAGCCAAGTACTTTGCCACTCTGTTCCCGGAAGGGGAACGGGCAGATGCGACGTCGTCTTATTGGACAGATTTGACGCACAGGGATGGATCTATGCCCGAGCTCTTCTTGTTCACATCGTGATTTCGAGGCAAGAAGATCAGGTTGCATTTGGGCCGGATTCAGCGAAAGTAGAGGACGAATGAGCTTCCATCGTGCGGGCATAACCGGCACAAATCCTGTTATAGTTATGACAGTCATTGGGAGGCGCAATTTAAGCAATGGAGTAGGACACTGTCTAGGAATTGACCCATCTACCAGCATTAGCCGGGGAGCTCAGCATATGCCAGGCATTGGGGCCGACTAGCCAGCTCAGCTCATTAGAGAATGCGCCACTAGTCTCGAGGTTTTTCTGGTGTAACCGACAATGCATCTATATTAGGCAAAGTCCAGTTGCAGTCCACTCATCATCCACTACTTGAATTGCCACGGAGTTAGTCCCGAGTGTCAATAGGGAGAAAAGGGATATCAACAAACGTCTCAGCTGTTACCTGAAATTTGGTACTGTTGTGCAAGATTCCTTTGTAAGATTGAAGCAGTTCCTGACTTGGAGAGAAAGTAATATCTAGGCGTCACATCAATTGGTCTAGATGGCCCATGGCCGATATAACGAGGGTTGATGATTGCGGACGTACTACCGCAATGTGTTGAGGTGAAGAGGATCGCCCAACGAGAGGACTCGAAATTGAGACTAGGCGGTGCGGGGTAGGGGAGGGTGGGCCTCCGCTTAGCGTCCGGAGGGTAGCACTCGGTTGACCGTTTAGTGGCCTCTCCAACAGTTCCTCCTTCGCTAACTTCCACTAGGCCTCCATTGTCTCACTTCCTCCCCCGCGGACCCTGAACTTCCGATGCGCTATCCTGCTCTTCTCCCTGTACACTTGGCGACCTGCATTAGCTAACATCCACTCACGAACAAATGAGAATCCGGGGGCGGGCCGGGTGTAGAGCCCATCGTGGCGCCACCACGCTCTGGTTCTCCTACCATCGAAGTCAAATTGATTGCTTCTCGCGATGATTACTTTGTTGCGCTGGTCAGGTGCTAAGTACTTTTCTCTCCGATTCTATCTACTACTATTGCTGTATTCCAACCGAACGTGCCAGCAATGACAATGATAGGGTCAAGATGTGCCAGGAAACCAGGGACTGGGAACCCTCAAGGTTCCGGCCACGCTCAAAGGGGAAAATGAGCGTCGGCCCTGCAATCAAACGCATTGGCCCAGAACAATCATTACAGTGACGATCACCAAAGCACTTTTCAGGAACGAGCCAATTCTTGTATCATGGACCAGGCTCGACGTCTCGGTTCGAGCACGCTAATTAGGTCAACCCCAGGAATTGCAGGGAAATCTTCCCCTGGCCCACATTTTCGCCTCGGCCGCAGTTCCCTCCCATGTGAGCTCTAACCTGTCCATGGTGTATATAAAGACGCTCACCCACAGTCACTGAGTAGGTATTCAGCAGAGCCAATCTCAGCCTCAAGCACTCGTTCAGTTCTCCAGCTTTGTTTATAATAACATATCTACTACTCTTAATATCTATTCAACTACCGTCGTTATCACCGTCAAGATGAAGTTCTCCGCTGCCTTGTTCACTCTGTTGGCCACCAGTGTCATGGCCAACCCCACCAAGGTTGCTCGCGAGCCTACCCTCGTCGAGCGTGACGCTGCTTCCATCACGAGCGTTCTTTCCGACATTAACACCCAAGTTCAGTCTCTTGACTCGGCCATCAACTCTTACTCTGGAGGCGACCCCTCCAAGGTCGAGTCCGCCTCTTCTTCCTTGGTCTCGGAGATTAACTCTGGTGTCTCCACTGTCAACGGAGGATCTGAGCTCAGCGCCACTGATGCTCTCACCATCACTGGCCCCGTTCAGGACCTCACCAAGGAGGTGCAGACCACCATTGATGATCTGATCTCGAAGAAATCCGACTTCGTGTCCGCTGGTGCTGGTGCCACTGTCTACGCTCAGCTGCAGAAGCAGTACACTGCTTCCAAGAACCTGGCCGATGCCATCACCTCCAAGGTCCCTTCCTCTCTGTCTAGCATCGCCAGCTCCTTGTCTTCCGGCATCACCGACGCCATTCAGAAGGGTGTCGATGCCTACAAGGACGTCGCTACCTCGTCCGCTAGCTCCACCTCTGAGGCCTCCAGTGCTACCTCCGCTGCCTCTGCTACCGATGCCACTACCGATGCCACTACTGCTGCCACCACTGCTGCCTCCACCACTGAGAGCGCTGCTGCTTCCACCAGCTCCAGCCCCGTCATCCCTAGCTCTCCCTCCTCTGCTTCTGCTTCCTCCACTCCCAGCGGCTCTGCCTCTGCCTCCGCCTCTGCCTCTCCTTCCCTCTACACCGGTGCTGCCAGTGTGGAGCGCTTCAGCTACACTCTCGGTGGTGCTGCCGTTGCTGCTGCCATTGCCATCGCTGTCTAAGTGGACATAACGATGGACTGAGTGAGCCGTGCGACGAATAACGAGGTGAAATGGTCAAGGTCCACAACACTCCCTCTACTGCTTCAATAAAGGCAATGGACTTGCCGAATGTATATCTTACTACTGCCTTTGAGGCTTAGATCCTGTACCAGTTTCGAGGCTTGGATATTGTTGTTATTTTGTTTCTTGTCATCTGTTGTTATAGCTATAATACAGTGTATTCTGGCGATGCTCGTGTCTAAAAGCAGTACTATAATTACAGAGTAGCATAACATGTTCAATTTGGTCTCTCCTCTACTGCCCTTGTAAATCTGGAAATATCTAGAATCTCCCTCACCCACCATACTGTCACAGGCTGGCATATTGGTGAGCGAGCCTGAGCCCTTCAAGGCATCCGAATCAAAAAGCCGGTCAACGCATTGGCCTTGCAGGATCACATGTAACATTGCTAGTCAGCCGCAGATGCTCCCTAACCGCGATCTAATGCAGGAGACCAGAAAGATCCCGCAATGCAGGCTACCTATTCGCAACACATTCCCGTTATGGGCAATTCTACTGCATTGTAACAGTGCTTGGAAACTTAGTTTTCGGGGGTAGTAGTAAACCCTCGGTAGGGTCAACTAGCTGAGAATATCATGCACGCACCTATTCTGTTACGTTATGTCAATGTCCAATCCGTGCAACAAGGGCCGATTCGTAATTTGCGTGCAGAAGCATGGCAACTATGATAGGTGTGACAGGGCAACCACCTTAGCGTATACTGACGCTTGATTTCGTGATATGTCGAGCGGTTCCTCGGGTTTCCGTTCACAAATAGATGCTGTGGGATGAGGGTGCTTCAGGTGACAATTGAACTCGTGATCTTCAAATTTGATGTCACGCCTGATACCCCTATTTCTTCTTAAGCCCACGCAATCATATATATATACATTTTCGCCTACAACTCGGACCTTGAACAGCACTAATGACCTATCCATTTCCTTCTGAAATTTTAAAGCTTCAGTTCTACAGAATATAATGTATCGCCTGGGATGATCAGAAATTTTGAAAGCAACCTCAAGATAGTCCGATTTTACGCAGAAGCTTTGGTAAGGAATTGCAGAGAGGTATAACTATGATGGCTCTAAACTCGGCACGCCATAGCCCATCATACCGGATTGAGCTTAGACGTTCCGCAATATCCGTCTGTTTCCCACCAGACTTCTTTCGGTTAGCAAGTCCGCTTGGATGCCCAGATACCACCCACTCACATTGGCCTTTTGATGTCGGAGTCCGCACGGAGTGAGGCACACCAACAGTATTGTTGGCCACTAATCAGTCTAATGGAAGCGCTCTCCTTTTCCCCACTTCAGTCCATTCGTTATCGAGGCACATTTTGGCAGAAGCAAAATGCGCCAGGATTTATCCACACTAAACATGTTTCCGACCACCGACTGGCTAACCAAAAGGACGGCGCTTAGCAAAGCGTGACCATGGCTCGAGAGAAGGAAAGGCGCTTATCCTTAACCACACGGCCCCGTGATAAGGCTAGCGGTTATATAACCTGAAAACAATCTCGATTTCAGGCAGCAACATCACACCACAAGTTCTCCTCCTCTCCTTCTGCGTTCTCCTTAATCGAACATCATGGCTCGAAAATTCCCCGTCGACTCTGCTGGCCCGGATATTGTCCGCGACTACATCATTACCACCCTAATCAGAAAGCATGAAGCGACGCCAGAATACGCAGAGAAACTGGCTACCTCCTGGCAATTAGGCCGGGTCCGGGAGCTCCGCTCCGCAACGTTGAAGCATCTGCAAGACGACTTTGGAAATGACGTTGGCTTGTGTATTTATCGCTCCATTCGAGAGGATATGCTCGAAGACTGGCAGGAAACGACTGCAGCAGCAGTCACTATTTGTTCGTTGCACCTCGCTCATCCATCACTGTGGTCATGGAAACTAACAGTGTTTCGTCAGGGACTGTGTCTACCGCGACGATGATCCATCTTGTGGTTATCGGGCTGTTCATCCTACCAGAACTGGGACTCATGCAGCCTTGTGGTATGTTTTTTTTTTTTCCGATTTCGATCCAAGTATTTATACGGTCTACATCGCTGACTGTCATCTCTGCTCTAGAACGTATCCGCGTGGCAAAGTCGCCTGCGTCGTGGCTGTTGTTTGGTTTCGCCTGGCTCAACTATCACTATCAGAGACAGGATATTGAAGAGCCGGGCCATATATCACTCGCAGGCCCTGTAGGGCTTTTGAGTATAAGCGTGGGCCTGTATTTGTTTTCGATGTAGAGTACATGCCTTACATTCTCTTTATTTTAGGCAGACCGCTTGAAGTATGCTGAGGCAATCGAAGGGGTCATAGTTGATAATATGCTGTGGCGCGCATTGCCTTTTCGAAGAGCAATGTTTAGCATCGGGGTCTAACACATTCAGCTACCAGCATGTAGTATAGGGATTTAGTAATTATGACAGCTAAAGAGTAAAATTGCTGATAACGTGGACGACGAGCTAGCAAATCTGAGGTATGTTGCTACAGTGACTAATTGGCTGGTAAGTTTGTACCTCAGAGTTATATCATGTGAAATTCCCATTGAATCGAAAATGAACTACAGAAAAGGATTTCGTGCATCTTCCCCCCACGGACCAATACCAGGGCCTTTGAACAATTTCCCTCCCTTCCAGACGTGGGTAATCACCCTCGGTTCTTGGAAAACTTTAATGTCCTCCAATGGGTTCTCCTCCAAAGCAATCACATCTGCCTCGTACCCCTCACGAAGCTGACCCGTTAATGGTGCCTGTGGACCAACCGACAAGGGAGCGTTTGCAGTTGCAGCTTTGATGGCCTCCAACGGTGTCATACCTCCTCTCTCGACAGCGAACTGCAACTCCAGCGCGGTAGGTCCACCAGGGGCGGTATCAGTTCCCAACGCAATGGTAACACCCGCCTTGATAGCCCCCTGATAAGCCTTCAGATGCGAATCAGCAAGTGCCTGCAACTTGGCCCACGACTCCTTCACTAGCCCCTCTCCATTGCTAGCGAGGAATATTTCAATAACTGAGCGCGTGGCCACATAAAGAATCCCCTTTTCTTTCATATGCTCCCACACTTCCTCGTCAGCATAAGACACATGCTCCAGACTTTTGCAACCTGCTTTTATGGCAGCCATGATTCCCGCCTTGCCGTGTACGTGTGCAGAAACGATCCGGTTCTGTCGAGCAGCCTCTTCCACTATCACCTTGAGTTCCTCTGGAGAGAATTGTGCAAAATTGGGGTTATCGTCTCGCGACATGACACCCCCTGAAGCCATCACTTTGATAACCTTTGCTCCGCGACGAAGTTGCAACCGCACTGCTCGTCGGACTTCCTCTACGCCATCGGCGATACATAGCTGCCCTGCTGCCCAGTATCCAGGCCGAGGGTTCGTGACTCCATAATTCCCCAGAACCTCACCTGCGGGAAGAGCGAAAATATCGCCGTGTCCGGCCGTTTGACTAAGAGCAGCGCCGGACGAGTACACATTTGGTCCAACGATCGTGCCATCATTGATTGCCTTCGCGACCTCACACCCATATCCGGCCAGGTCGCGGTAGGACGTATACCCATTCTGCAGTCCTTCCCAGCAACCACGGGCTAGTCGAGCTCCTGATGATGCTGGATGAGTGGCCAGACCTGAGGTATAATCGTTGTAATAGTCGTCATCACCGCCAAAATGCATGTGGCAATCCCACAGGCCGGGCATGAGCACAGGGACACGGTGAGTGGACTGCGTGGACCGGAGGTATTTCTTAGGAATGTCGGCTTCGGGCCCGACGAACGCGATGATCTTATCGCTGATGACTAGGGCGGCATTGCGCAGAGGTTCTCCGTCGCCAGGAATCAACAGACCGGCATATATTATAGTGACCTTGGCCTCGTCGGTTGATGCAACAACGAGTGGTCTTCGATGGATATTCATCGACACGGAATTGGGACGGACACAATATGTTGTGCCAAGTGGCGATATGGGCGATTGTGCCGTAGGAGTAGCTGAAGCAATTCGGCGAACCATGATGATGATGATGATGAATTCGACTTCGATTTCTGCAACCAAGCACAGGGAAACTGGGGAAACCGCCAAATAATAACCCCAGAGGGGTCGGGGAAAATGGTCTGTAAGCAATTGCCTGTCTCGTATCGGACTCCGTCGGGGCTATCCTAATCTTTCCTCCTCTATCGTTATCAGTCGATAGTATGTGAGATTTTAGCCGGTAAGCTAGACCATCTCGGGTGTCAAGGCTTAAGCCACCCTATCCCGCCTGAGACAACGAAGGTCTGGGTCCATATTTCCACTCCTATGCAGAACCGAGAATGATTAGTGCCGATTTGCCATCATGCGCTTGCGGTCCTGAGTAGCTTACTCATGACGCTCCCTGCTTGGCGATAGCGTGAATCAGCCGATGAGGCTTATAGTGATGTGGAAACGGCTGCAGGTGTAGGCGCTTGATTATCATCAACTGCGGGGCCTTTCTATCACGTCCTTGAGGCAATTTTTATTCATGAAATGCTGCCTTGCTTGGATGGTGTCCTGTCTGTCAGAGCTAAAAGTATCGGATGCTCAGACGCCTGTCGACCATCTAGGCACTCCGCGTCATCGCAATCTGCGCATGATAAAGGAGTGTAGGTAGCGTAAGCAACATACAGAATTACCATATCAAACACTGACCATAATACTAATAGAATCGGTGTCGGCTGTGATGCGGCTATGCATACGGGGGATTCACGAGAGGAAACCCCTACTCTAATAGTGGGTATAACCGTGACCACGCAGAAGTTCTCGACCATATCGCTTCCAGACAAGCTGGAAATGTGATTAAAAATACCTAAACGTTGCATCATTGAGGAATGGCAGTTCTAGGACTGAGACTGAGCATTTCCTCGCAAGATCATCGAACACCATTACTTCAGAAATCTGCCCTTGGCAGTTTGGTCCTAAGGCTTAGGGGTCGTCGTCGCCAAGTATGCGATTGAGGTGCAATTTCAGTAACATCAACTACAATCCCGTCGCGTCAGACGCGACGAGGAAATTGGAAAACCATCGTTATTTATTTGGCGCCAGGAAATGATTCCCGCTGTTCCATTGTTTTGGGACAGTGTCTCTCAGCCTGCCTTCCGCCCCCGGCCCCCAACTTTATTCGTCTCAGTCCTAATGCGGACCTCGCGGATGGGAATGCGATCATGAAGTCTCGAATGATTTTACAGCTTCCGATCACCAGGTCAATCTGCATAAAACCTTACAATTAAACTCACAGAGCCATCCAATCTGAGTAGACTTGCAGAAACAAATCCCTGGCAAGCTTTTGGCGCCACGAACGGATCGATCGATCTCACACTCCTGATCGACGAGGAACGGTGGATCCGAAGCCGATCATTGCTCACCTCGTAAGTTTTATTGTCCTGCAGGAGCACACTATGCTAAATAGCAAAAGCAAAACCTACGCAGGGAAATTGTCATTTCCAACCGCGTACTTAAGAACGGAGCAGCCCCTCTTCCCGGCACACTCGCGTGCCACACAACCTGAACTGTCCAATTGAAAGATGCGGTTCTCTCCAATCTACGTGCTATCATGGGCTCTCCAGGCCTCGGCTACCATTCTGCAGAATGGCCAGGTTCGAGAGGATCCCTACCCTGGCCAGGCTAAGGCTATCTCGTTGGATGATGGCTCTTGGCGGACTTACCAACCGGACGCGTCGGAGATCGCATATAAGGGGAGGTGGGATAGTAAATATGTGTCTTGTGAGTCTTCCGTGATGATTACATCATTCGGGTCGTGTATCTTGCTAACTGACTGGTCCTTCAGGGTGGTCGTATGTCTCAATCGATTTCCCTGGGTGATGACATCGGACTAACAGGTACAGACTTCCGGGTATCAAGCTTGGGTTTACGGGCGAGCAGGTATGATAGCGTTGGTCATGAGATACTGCGACGCGTTCAACTGACATGGCATAGCTTGCTGTAAGCTTCGGTCCGCAGACGAGTGAAGGGGTCCTTTTGGCCTATCGGTAGGGATCCGAGCAAAAATATTGGATTCTCCTGCTGACTCTATAGGATTGACGGTTTGGACTGGCAATTCTCCAATGTGACTGCGAACTCAACATATCAATTTGCCGGGTCGTGGACCCCTGGGTTGGATTTGGCCAAGAACAACACATTTGAGATGAGAGGTAAGTGCAATTCTTCATCAATTGAAACGCATGCTGACGGTTGTCTAGTTACAAACTGGGGCTATGGATAAGTTTATCGCTCCACCATGGAGACATTTGACTGACCTGTCGCACAGTTCAATTGGCCGGTGTCTCGGTCGCTTCCGATTCACAACTTGTTACAGTTCCTCAATACAGCAAGACAGTGGAGATCATCGGCGATTCGTACGTTCCTTTCTCCCACCATCACGCCACAGCTAACAGCTTAGCTTCGCATCTGGACAATATGGCACCTACGAAGGACTTTCCTCATGGGCATACAACTACGCCGCTGGACTAGGCGACGTCGAATACTCGATCACCGTATGTTCCCGTTGCACTTTGCATTCACTATCTAACCATCACAGGCATATCCCGGTATCTGCTTGACGGATGAACAATGCTACGCGGACAAGGCACGCGGCATGGTCAGTTCTCCCTATATCCCGCAGACACAAGCCTCTAACTCAATCAGACACACCAATGGTTCTACGCCTCCGATGCAGGCGTGCGTGCCAACGCCACCTACGGAAACCAGCCCGAAAAGTGGGATTTCAGTGCCCATCGCGCGGCAGATCTAGTTATCATTGACCTAGGTACAAACGACCACCGAGCCGTGAATGACATCCCCGGTTCGACCTTCTACGACAGCTACGTCGAGCTCGTGACCAGCGTGCACGAAACATGGCCAAACGCACAGATCGTCATCATGGTATGCACCCCCATCCTCTACCCCAAGCCGAGAAACCAACCGCTGACAACATGCCCAGTCCCTCTGGGGCAACTTCACCCGCTCCGGAGACACCTACGTACAATCCCCCTTCTACGTCTCCGAGATCCAGCGCGTGGCCGAGCATTTCCAAGACGACGGATTCGTCTATTACTTTGACACCAAGGGCGTGCTACAGCACAACGACATCGACCCGCAAGAGCACCCGACCGACGTCGGCCACATCAAAGTAGCCAGCCACCTGATGCAATGGACGAAGCTCATATTGGGATGGGAGTTTGGAGCCACAGGTCCGGAAGTCCAGCACGACACGCTGTACTGGAACAATGAGGATAGTTATCGGCGATCGTTCGATGGCAGTTACTGATCTACATCATCCATCCATCCATCCATCCATAATATACATAATATCATACAATACAGACCAGATAGACAGATAGATAGAGATAACAAGAAATGTAGGACAGCGACTACATGCTGAGACACAGCAAGGGATAGGAAAAAATCCCATTCCTCGCTCTAGGTTTGCAACAACATGAAGTTGAATCGCACATCCACTTTTTATCGGTATTAAGAGGCATACAGCAGACGACACTCGCTCAAGGATGATTAGGGCCTCAGAGGAGACTTGTCGTGGCTGGGGTTTAATACCACTTCTTTGACTTGTTTGCTTTCATGGTGATAACACGCTTCGTGCGACACATTAGGCAGGAAGATGATATCCCAGATAGCTATATAGTTATTATTAGTTGTCGTTGGTAATGAAGATAGTCGAGGTTGACGTCCGCATAACATTATAGCAGACGCAACACGCAGCGAAGCGACGATGATGAGGTAAGTAAAGGGAAGGGAGGTTGATGGGAGGGGGGAGACTACGGGAGGATTTATATCTAACCGGTTGTGGGCGAGCTAAACTGCTTTTGGTTAGTGTCGGTTGTAACCGAGGAATGGGCTTGGCGGGAGGGGGGTGTGATTGGGTGGTTGGTTGGTTGGTTGGGGTTGTCGATGGAGAGATGCAACGTAGGGTGGTAGTACGGAGGAGGTAGTAGATAAGTAGTAGGTTATGATTGACTGGTTATTAATAGTTATCTTTATGTGACTATATACAGAGTACAGTCATTGTAGATATATACAAAGTTATACCAATTTCGACCCCTCCACAGCCCTGGCATACCGATCACATGTCGCTGAGAAGAACATATTCCCTGCTGCAGCGATAATCATTGCTCGCGCGTGGTTCAATTGCGTCTCGTCAATATTCGTACTGTTGGTCGTGACGAGTCGAGTATACTCTTCATCCATCTGTCCCTCCAAATCACGTAGCATAAGTCGGACCATCATCTTGGCAGAGGAGTCAGAGCCCCCCATGAGATCCTGCACGACTCGAACTGCATTGAGACCCGCATCTCCGCTGGCCACTTCCTTGGCATAAGAGTACAAGTCGTTCGTAAGGAGCAGATGTTTCGCACAGAGGGACTTTAGGTAGTTGATACTCCGAAGATCCGCCGGCGAGGACGAAGAATGCGGAGCAGTGATAGAGAACTCCACGCAGCGGAGAGTAAGCGTGGCTCCGAAATCCTCTAACCCATGGACGATATACTCATCCAGGGAACTGAAACGTGCAGGTCCTTGCTGGTGGTTTCGAGACGTAGAGCCCCATGATAGGATATCTTCGATGAGAATAGCCCCACTGACGGGATCTGCAGTGAGGATCTCGTCTGAGATGATATTGAATGCTGTGTGGGATGGCTTGCTGTTCTTTCCTGTAGGGATCAAGACCACATCATCGTTGAGATTCCCCGCATCGACGGCATCGTCGTGCAAAAAAGCTAGAACTAACGTCCTGGAGAAGAGTTTGATTCCAGCTAGATCGCATAGTGGGAAGAGGTGGATTGCGTAGGATACCACTCCTTCTGTCACTGCATTGAGGTATTTTTCTCCCTTGGGGTTGTTGTGGGATGGGAAGAGGGTCTGCAATAAGTCTTTTACTGCGACTTCTGCTTCGCGCCAGTATTTGGATTGCAGAGCGCAGGGGAGTGAGGTTGGCCAGGGGACTTTTAGTTTTTGTGGGTTGAGGGGGATGGCATGTTGGTATTCTGCATCCTGGGTGAGGTTTGATGGGTGTAGAAATGAGAATGCTGGAGATGTTGAACTAGACTGGGTTGCTGGAGTGGCAGGATCAAATGCGTAAGAGATGGGACGCGGATAGTAGATTGGGGTGGAGTTGCACACTCGAGGAGTTTGGGTGAATTTGCGACATTGTGGCGTGTTGAGTGTAAGTATCCGTGGGAGGAAGCCTAATCTCTGTACCCGGGAATGGCGGAGGAATGTCCGACTCATGC